TCTTGCAGCACGTTGCCACCTTAACTTGATCATTTTTGTAGTCTGGTTTTCAGTCGTCCGACAAAAATTAGAATATTTGTCCCAACTATGTTTTGGATAAATGATCTCAATGCATCTGAATGCTCGTTTTTGTTGGGAATTATTTTTTAAGAATATTTTTATTTTTCGTCAATACACGAAATTCACTTTATTCAGTAAAAACATACCTGATCAAGTTTGGTCCCAGCCAATTCAATTCCAAAGTTACTCAGTTAAAGTAGCATTGGCTGTCTCCTAAAATATAGCACAATCTTTCTAACTGAAGTCAAATTCACACCCCAAAATGTCGGGCCGAGCCAGGTCTGCTCCTCACAGTTGAAATATATGTTCAACATGTGGGCTTCCTGAGCGAGGCCGTGAGTAACTATCAAATGTTGCCGGTCAACGCGTTGAAACCATCCTACAAAATGGTATTTCTTGTCATTTTACTCAAATGTGACCTTCTCCAGGTGAAGCAGCTGACTCTCGAACTGGAGCGCTGCGGCACTGAGGCACATGAGTTGGTCGCCCAATTGAACGAAGCCCGTGCGAACTCGAGCAGGGCGGAACAGGAGGCTGACGCCTGGCTGCAGGAGCATGAGTCGCGCATGAAGCAAAGTCTGGAGGAGCGCGACACTCAATTGGCTGAACTGCAAAGGCAACTGCAGCAAGTACAGACGCAGCAACGTCAACAGCAGCAAGCGCCGAGCGAGGAAGAGCTGAGTCAACGTGCCCGCGACCGTGAGACGATTGACGCTCTGCGAGCCGAGATCCGTGATGCGGCAAAGTTGCGCAGTGACATTCAAGATCAATTAGCCCAAGCCAACAGTGATCTGGCGGAGGCCAGACGACAAGTAGAAGAGAAGACGGAGCGCTTGAGCACCCTCGAGAATGAATGTGTAAAGGCATATCCGTCCTATATCACCATTAGTTTCAATGGCTTTTGTGACAGTCTATTTTGTTATAACTAACGTATTACCTCTGTAAGTTAGTTTCGTTTCCTCTATTTTATTACAAGTTTTATCATAAGTACTCTCCAAAATCTTGGCAAATATATCAATTTTGAATTATTGGCCAGGTCAGCCAATTCAAAACGGATTCTAGAACTAAAGACCAAAAAAGTACGATCACTCGCATTAGCTCAGACGTCTTTCATCGACCTTGTCTCGTTTTCGCAACCTTGCCTGAAAAATGCTCCGATAATACAGCAATTGTTGCATTTCGTTCCGTGAACACACGTCATTTTATTCATTCAATCGACATTCGGGTACACCATAAGACAATTCACTTCCCAGTCGGACGTGCTCATGGTAGTCCTAATGAATATCGATCTGAGCCTCTGTAATCGTCAATCGTTTGGCTCCATGGCATCAAAATTAGCTTGGCGACTATCCCTTCCACCTCCATCTTTTGAGTGCCCCCAGTTTGCAAAGATTCGCCCGATCGTGTGGACGTAGGCTACTTGGCTATCGCCCATTCGAGGGGAAGACTGTCTACCTCAGGTCCAAAATTCTTGTAGCTTGGCTCATTCAACATTCGTTACTGCCCCAGTCCCAACAGCTTTTTCCTCGACCGCATAAGGGTGATTATTCACATTACACTAGAGTTAGCATTATTGGCATGTCAACAACCAATCTCGCTTCAAGGGAACAGTTGAGCGCATTTTTCAAACGCTCAACTCCTAAAGCGGCATGAGTAGATAACACTTATGCCACAAAAGTGGTACTATACATCTTTAAACGTAGATATGGAGACCAAGATGTCCTAGTCTATATTTTGGTCGCAGTCTATTTTCGATGTATAGAGTGGTCTGACATCGTTTTTGCAACTTGGTCGTATTTTCAGAGCGACTTAGTTGAACGCACTTAGTCCACGGTCTGACCATGCGAATTATGATATCTACTGTAGCAGAGAACTTCAGACAAGGCGCGTCCAACTAAGTTTCATTGCTAACACGACCCAGGTCAGACCACTTCGGTGTTTCTTTGTTTGAGATTATCTGATATCGTTACTTCTGAATATCATCAAGGCATTAGCAACAGATTTAGCATTCAATATTTATTTTTTTAAACAAGTTGCTTTATTTACCAATAACTTTCGCAACTTTTGGCGAATTGACATTTGCCGCTAGTTGGAAGGTTTAAT